GAGAAATGGTCCTTTTGTGTACATAGAAAAAGTCTTAGATCTTAGAGTTCAGCTCATGAAAAATGGGCGCAAAAACAAAAGTGTTGTGTTTATAATTTTGTGCAGTGTAATTAGAGAGGATCTAACATTTGGAGGAATTTCATACAGTTCTATATAAGAATGGACGGAATTTGGTTATTTTCACTGTATTTAGTCCAGTGTTTATTGAATAGCCCCGAACACTGTGCAGTGTGTCCGCTCCCTCTAGTCAAGTTGCTGATAATCTCAAATTGTCAGAAACGCGATCTAAGGTTCAGGGACCAGCTCGTGCTGGTCCTGCCACCATACTTTCCAGGCTCTGTTATTAATCACTATAGTGCCAACATTTAATGCAGCGCAGCATCAATGGGTTCTGCACACAAATGAAATAGATTGCACATAACACTTTTTTAGAATTAATATTGCGTCTCTATGTGTAAATGTTAAATTGAGAAATGCTCGTGGGAGATGAATTGTAGCAATGTTTCAATAAACCTGCCTTGGATTTTAATAATTTTTCTCGCCAAGTCCTCTAAAGCAGATTTTTATCAGTGGAATCAGTGCAAAATTCTGACCATTTTAAAGGGACACTAACCACCAAAATCACTAAATCTTAATGTAGTGGTTTTGGTCCGTGGAGATTGCCATCTTTGTCCTGCAATGGAATGACAGATTTGTTTAGAGGCTTTCTAACATTTCATTTTTTTATCTCAAGTGAGGCCCAGTGATGTAAGCTGAATGAAGAAGCCACAAACGTTAATAATGAATATATTTATCTTTAGAGTATTTGTTTAACCATTTGGATATCTGGAGGGAAGCATTCTGCAAGATTAAGAGTTAATGTTTGCTCGGGAGTCTGTCTAAGAGAGTGCTGCCTTTCTGACTGAGCCATCTGCAGGACAGATGTGGCCTGAGTCACGCTCTCGATACATTGAGTTGATTTGCTGTGAGGGTTAGGGACCTAACAATCACAAACTGTCACAGGGGCCCAGAATGACTCAGAATAGGATGGAGTCACCGCGCCTGGCAGTCATACATTGTGTGAGCATGACGTCCACACAATATCTGTATTCAATCACAGCTAACACATAGCACAGGTTGTTTTTCTTTTTCATCCACGAACACTGAATTGTTGATAATTAAAAAAACAAATGATAAAATTCTCCTAAAATAGCCCAGCTGTGTTGAGTAACAGAGATGATGTAATTGCGGAATCCTTTTAAACACACCGAGAAGACATTTCACATCTCGAAAATCAAAATGCTGTTTTACATATATATTATATCTCATTGCTGTATGTTTACTAGGTGATTTTTAAAATTATTTATTTGTTTATGGCCATGCATGACTCGCCAGGCTCGGCCAGACATTGTGGTACACCAGTCATGTCCAAAGTCCGGCCCGCGTTCTGGTTTAATACAGCCCCACATTTAATTTGGTAAATCTATCTGTTGTAACCCCCAGTGAATCCCTGAGCGCTGCTCAGGACCCCTGGGATCTCAGGGTCTTTGAATGCCGCAGTCCTGGGATTCACTGGGGGCCAGGAGATCACGTGTGCAGTGACCTCAGTCTGTGTTCTCGCGATCTCTTGGACGTTGCGGGATTCGCTGGATTTGGTGCGCGCGATCACGGGATTTGGTTCCTTCTCCCTGCTGGGACAGAAAGAGAGAATGGACAGAATAAAAAAAAAAGATACAGAATAAAGAGGGACAGAATAAAGAGAGAAGAGACAGAATAAAGACAGAATAAAGAGGGACAGACTAAAGAGAGAAGGGACAGAATAAAGAGAGAAGGGACAGAATAAAGAGGGAAGGGACAGAATAAAGAGAGAAGAGACAGAATAAAGAGCGACAAAATAAAGAGACAGAATAGAGAGAGAAGGGACAGAATAAAGAGAGACAGAATGAAGAGATCTCAGACAGAATAAAGAGATGAATTGAAAAGTATGCCGTTTGCAATAAACTTTGCATAAAATAGTTACTTTGCATTACATTTTTAATGGTTCAAAGAATGTCAGGCAAAATGGTTGGCCCTCACACATGTTCACTTCATCAAATCTGGCCCTCTTTGAAAAAAGTTTGGACACCCCTGCTCTATACTGTCAAGGAAATTTTAAGTGTGACATATAATAATGTCAGTTCTTCATTTCCAACATCTTTTTATATTTTATTGCATTTCTATTGCATTGTTTTTGATCAATAATTTTATTATATATACACAAATGCTTTCTGATTACATTATCGCATTGTGCGTCTAATGGGTTCTACACAGAAATTAAATTGTTTGCACGTGACACTTTTTATTGTTAATATTGTATCTATATGTGTATATGGTAGTTTTGGAAAGGCTCTTGGGAGACGAAATGTTTCAATAAACCTGTCTTAGAGTTTATCCAGTTTTGTGAGTCCTATCGTTCTTTGTCTGTAGCGAGCTAAGATGGAGGCGCCCAGTCATAGGATAAGGAGCTGTGGATTTCTACAATTAAGTTTATTTTTTACACCTCACCAATGTAAGTCTGTGAAATATATAGATAAATAAACATAATATTAAATATCTGAATAAGTCACAGATTCCCTTTATGAGAAGAAATGGCTGTCCCTACCGGTCACTCTCACGTAAGGTTCATCATTAATCCACGCGCAGATTGGATAGACATAAATCCTTTACTTATACTAGTTATGGACGCCAAAATGTTTTTATTTGGTTGTATCCAAATCTGTCATTTAAAGCGGGCATGTGAGTAAAGATTGATATCTCCTCACAATGTGATAAAGGTGTCTATACAAATACAAAGGTATGTAACTATAATACAACAAACAGCATTTTTTACTGACCTAAAAACCCTACTGCAAAATTCAGACAGAATATGATGAGTTGGGAAATATCCCCGATTCTCCCTATAGTCACAGTAACTTCAGTGTTATTTTGGCAGGTTTCAGTTCACTGCTTTTCGCTGTTTAGTAGCGTCTGCACTAATGTACTGACAAACTGCGTCCATAAGTGGGCAGCGACTGTCATTTATCATTTAGGAATTGGAGAAATTACATAAACATAGGTTCCAGTGTTTGCTTTCTGTGTCTCTGAGCGAATAAAGCTGGCAATATCTATTATTAAAACTTTTTAAAATGTCATTATGTTTATCCTTATATTTGAAGTTCACTGAATTCCCACCATTTCTCACTTTAGTAAAAAACTGTGATGTTATGAGAATAATGAACATGTCACAATCTTGTGTATAAAAAACATGTATACTTGTCTGGAAAAATGGCAGTGTCACCTGGAGTAAAATGTAACTGTCACTTAAACTCCCTTGCTGGCCCCAGTCAGGGCACATCACGAACATAAATTTTTATAGCGCTCTGGGCGGGGCTTGATGCCCTCTTACTGCCCGACTGCAGTTTGAAAGAATGCTGTGCGGATTGGGGGCATTGCACTGGTGTCTTCAGACCAACCTGGGTCGCTAATTTGGAACAGTCCTGTTGACCTAGGTACAGTTAGGAGGTTCACAAACAGTTTTCAAGATATCAAGATATTTGATAAAAAGGGTATCACTTCCATCAGTCAGAGCCCAGCCCCTCTGTCGGTGTTGAGATCATGAAGAATTTAATTTCTGCATTAGACGGCAGCTAGGAGCTCCGGTATGATCTCTGAATCAATGCAGGATCCAGAAGAAGACGTATTGACAATAATCCAGAGGTTCAACATATGGCGCATAAAGAGCAATAACCATGGGCTGATATGTCAGTATAGGCACCGTGCTTTACACGCTCATAACACACACAATCCTTAACGTGAGCAGAAGACATGTTTATGAACAGTCTGCAGATCACTGGAATGCGATAATTATTATTAAAATAATTTATCGATATTTTACTCAGAGCTGCTATGTTTAGGCACATGTAATGTTCACTGTCAGACATCCCATAATACCCAGATTATATTTAGAGGGCGCTCTGCATAATGGTGTCGCATTTCCGTTTATTATAAATAAACTGTGCTGTTTGACAGTCTTGGCAGCAACTGTATCTGACACGGATAGAGTGCACTTGGCATTACCATCAGTTTGTGTCTCACATTTTCCAAGCACCAAACTCTGGGATTCTACAATAATAAAATCTATAACAGATTCTATGAACAGAGCGGATCGCTGCGTCATTCTTAGAGCTGTTAAACCAGAGAAAAGGGATTAGCTCAAGGGCAACAGGCAGATTCTCAGGAGTAACAGGCAGATTCCCAGGCAGAATGTCAGGGGCAACAGGAGGTTGTCAAAGTAAATGGGCAGTTTCAAAGAGGAACAGACAGGATCTCAGGGGGAATGGGCAGGTTCTCTGGGGGAACAGGCAGATTCTCAGAGTGAATGGACAGATTCTCTGGGTTTTGAGGTGAAATGATTCTATGGGTGAATGAGCAGATTCTATGGGTGAATGGGCAGATTCTCAGGGTGAACGGACAGATTATCAGGCAGCAGAAGCCAAACAGGCAGAGATTTTAGGCCAAGGCAACAAATATGCGTAACGATGGTGCCCATGGTTTACCTACCTGGCACATACAGAGCCTCTAGCTGAAGCGGGGCAGTGGAACCCGCGTGCACCCTGTGCACGCTATCTCTCTTACATCTCCTTTTCTATCTTACTTCTGCTTATTCTTTATCTCTTACCTAATTGGACTTTCACTCAATATGACATAAATGGTGGGTCAGGCACTAAGAACACAAGCTCAAATTGTATACAGTAAATAGCCCATACTGGCTATAGGGCCATTGAGAAAGCTTCTCTACCGTACTGCAGCACTGATAAAACTGTAACTGTAGACCCATACCGTATATATGATTTAGACCACTCCTATATTATACCTAGGTGACTTGCATATGGGATGGAATTTTTCAATTCTCTTAATAATGTTGTAAGTTTGTAACTAGTGATGTCCCGAACGGTTCGCCGCGAACTCATCGTTGAGTAAACTTTGACCCTGTACCTCACAGTCAGCAGACACATTCCAGCCAATCAGCAGCAGACCCTCCCTCCCAGTCCCTCCCACCTCCTGGACAGCATCCATTTTACATTCATTGTGAAGCTGCATTCTTAGTGAGCTGTCCAGGAGGTGTGAGGGTCTGGGAGGGAGGGTCTGCTGCTGATTGGCTGGAATGTGACTGCTGACTGTGAGGTACAGGGTCAAAGTTTACTCAACGATGAGTTCGCGGCGAACTGTTCGGCGAACCGTTCAGGACATCACTATAAGGTGTACCAATCTTTATTCAGCAGTTCTCATGGGAACCTGTTGCGCATACTACTTATTGGAATCCCCGACCTTAATATGCTAAGTAGAAAGCAAATTAATCAGAGACCCTGTGTGGTCTATATTATTGCCCAATGTCGGGAGAACTGCGAGATTCCTTATCTTTCTTAACAATATTGTATTCGCGTGATTCTACATTTTGTCCTAACATGTCATGTCTTACTTATCTGTGAAAAACTCAATAAAAACTCTGATTAAATAATTATCAGGGTGAATGGACAGATTCAGTAGGTGAATCGGCAGATTCTCTGTGTGAATAGGCAGATTCTATCGGTAAATGGGCAGATTCTATGGGTACATATATATTGACATACACATATATATATATATATTGATATGCACTGATATATATATACACTCATATATATATTAATGTACACTTATAGAGCCCTCCACTAAAATTGGCACCATTGGTATATATGAGAGAAGGCTGTGAAAAATAGTTTTTATTGTTTAACCCAGCGGTTCCCAAACTGTGTGCCGCAGAATGTTTCCTCAGTGCTATGATTATAGCACCGGGGAAACATTACTACTCAACAGGGACCTGGTCGAGTGCCGCTGTCCTCTAAGACCGCGACTGAGCCCCTGTAATGTCGGCTGGCTTGGAGAAAGGGACAGCCTGTCACTTACTCCCAGAATCCTGCAGGGAGACAGCACGGGAGGGAGAGAAGGCGACCACAGTGTGAGGGGAGAGAAGCATGAAGAGTTTCAGACCCCTCACTCCCACAGCAGCAGGACTCCAAGCCACCCTCCTGGCACATAAGGTAAGATGACAGGAGGGTGGCTGGAGATATTTAAAAAAAAAAATCACTTGTGTGAGTGTGTGTATGAGTATGAGTGTGTGTATTAGTGTTAGTGTATGAGTATGTGTGTGTGTGAATGAGTGTTTGTATGTGTATGAGTGTGTCAGGGTGTGCATCTGTGTGTGTATATATATATATATATGTCAGTGTGCTTCTGTGTCTGTGTGCGCGCACACATCTGTGTATGTGCATCTGTGTGTCAGGGTGTGTGTTTTTATGTCAGTGTGTACCTGTGTCATGGTGCGGGCATGTATCAATGTTTATGTGTGTCAGGGTGCATGTGTGTATATGTCGGTGTGTATCTATGTGTGTATGTGTTGGTGTGTATCTATATGTGTGTATGTGTATTTATATGCATCTGTGTGTTAATGTGCATGAATATCTGTGTAAGCAGTGGTGTGCATACCGCGGTCGCAGCTGAAACTGGGCCCGTCACTCCAGAGGGACCTGCCGCCCTGCGGACCACTGCAATCAGGTAGCTGCCGCCATTTTTTGCGGCCCCGGCCCGCACGGCAAACCGCCGGGGCCGCACATGAAGGGGCCCATCGTGTGGCCCATGCTGTTAGGGCCACATGATGGGTATGGATTTCCAAGGGGCCCGATCAGCACTGGGCGCTTTAACAACGCGACCGGGCCCCCTGTGATGACATCAGACAGAGCTGGGAGGAAGTGACTGCCTCGGTCACTCCTCCCAGCTATCAGAGAGCCACGCGGGAGGAAGGAGGAGGGAGTCTGAGCCCCCACTGGACCCCAGGGAAAGTCACCCGCCTGCAAAAGGTAGGAAACAGCAGGGTGACTTAAACATTTTGTATATGTGTGTGTCTGTATGTATGTATGTCTAGGGGGGGCCCACGGATCGTTAAACCAAAGATCAGTTTTGCACCGGGGCCCCATCGATTGTGTGTATGCCACTGTGTGTAAGTATGTATGTATGTGCATACATCCAAGCAGTCAAACACCAGCACAACATACAAGCACACTCCTGCAATCTAACACAAATATTACATACATACACAGCCCTTCACTCAAACACAAATACTTCACACAAATGTACATACACATTTGAAAGTGAACATTACATTCAGACACCCCTGTATTATAACACAATAAATGTATACAAGCACCCCTTCAAACACCAACACTGTACAGTACACTATAGCGCCAGTAAATGCGGCAGCGTTGTACAGATATACAACCTAGAAATTTTGACTTGGCGTGCCTTGGAAAAATACTGAAATATTAAGGGCGCCTTGAACCTAAAAAGTTTGGGAACCACTGGTTTAACCTTTTGTTCAAAAAATACACAACAGTGCTTTCATGGAAATCAAACAATTGCAAACACAACACAGGTTTCTAAAAAAAAAAAAAAAATCGTGTAGCACGATTATTGTTACTCCTATGAATTCCTATAAGAAAAATATATTTGAAGCATATTCCCATTGATAATTTTTTTTAGTACACCTGGGTGACTAGAAACAGGAAATTGTTCAACCATGTTTCATGTTTCCTGTTTCACAGGGGTATGTGAGACAACACACAGGCCAAATTACCTTAGTCATTCATCACAATGGGTAAGACCAAGGAATTTATGTATGGCAAAAGGTTGCTGAGCTTCAAAAAAAAATGGGAAGTACCAATAAGAAAATGTCCATCATCAGGGCAATAATTAAGAAGTTCCAGTCATTGGAAATGTTATGAATCTACCTTGAAGAGGATCTGTGTCTATATTGTCTCAACACACTATGAAGAGGATGGTTTTAGTTGCCACAACTCCAAGGATTCCAACTGGACAATTGCAGATGTTAGTTGCCTCTTGAGATCAGAAAGTCTCCATAACTACAATTCGAAGTCACCTACATCATCACAAGTTGCTTTTTATTATTATTATTGCTATTTAAATAGCGCCAACAGATTCCGTAGCGCTTGGATGGGTTATAAGAAAAAAGACTCTACTCCCATCGAAAAACAAACTCAAGTGTCCTCAGTTTGCCAGACACTATTGGAACTTCAAATAGGATTGGGTTCTATGGTCAAAATAGAGCTTTTGGGCAATAAACACCAGAAGTGGGTTTGGCACACACAGAGAGCTAGCCATATGGAAAAGTACCTCATGCCCACGATAAATAAGGTGATGACTCTTTAATGTTTTGGGCTATTTTTCTGCCAGAGGACATGGACATTTTGTTAGGATACATGGCATCATGGATTTTATCAAATATCAACAGATATTGTATGAACACCCGACTGCCTTTGTTGGAAAGCTTATAATGCTAACATAACAATGATCCAAAACATACATCAACATTAAAATATACTCTGGTATATATAGCTATACACCAATATATATATATTTGTGTTCAGTGCATTCTCATATGATATAGAATAAGATGGGTTGTAGAGATGAGATGTAGAGAGGAATAATCGGTTGAGGTGTGCCGAAAACCGACGTATGCTGTAGGCCAGTAAAAAGTGGGCTTACATAGAGGAAATATGAACAATGGGAATGGAGGGTGGGGCTATTCGTCTGACCAACAAAGGTAAGTAGGGAAAGGGGGGAGTCCCTTTTATAGGTCTATAGCCCCTCCCACAACTTCAGGCCATGCCTTCCAATTTGTGTTCAGGGCATTCTCATATGATATAGAATAAGATGGGTTGTAGAGATGTAACTTTAGAAATAATCGGTTGAGGTATGCTATAGGCCGGTAAAAAGTGGGCAAAAAGAGACATATTAATGTAAAACATTATACAGGATCATAATGCATTTGTTAACCATCAGGTAGACATTTTAATGAAAGCTTCCTAATTCCTGAATCGGCTGTGGTAGGCCCTGCTAGTGGCCAAGTGGCTTGAGAGGCTCTATCTATGCAATGGCGCGAGGGGATTTTTGTGGCCACCAAACGTAGTGGCAGGATGTTGGCCTCTCGGTGACTGTAACCAGAAAAAAGGGGAAGGGAGTGACAGGTGAAGCCCTCTCTATATATCATGCGAAGCGGCTAGCTCACGAGTGGCCCGATGGGTGTTTGCCTGCGAGCGTTGAGGCGGGGTGTTGGACTTGCAGATCCACTATATGACAGGCATAGATGCCAAGAAAGGAGAATACCTATTGGAAACCTATAGTCCCTAATTGCCAGTACGCTAAGGATATACCCAGGGGGAAACAGAAAATGTATGTATATACCACATGAGCAGGTGTATGTACCTGGTAGTATGATTAGATACCCTTACTGGTCATAAGGGTTATTAATACCTGTATCCCGGACGGGTAAAACAATGTATGAAAATTGAATATAGACATTTAAAAGCGTATACCCATATATGTGTGTTATGCAAGCTTAATAGAGCAAAGTGCTCCATCCCAATGTTTATTGTATGCTTGTAATGCCCCTGTTTGAAGGAAATTAACTTGTCGGGAGTGTTATATCATGTGTGATATGGAATACAACTGTACCCCGAAACATGAGTGTAGTGAACCATGACTGGCAGCTGAATAACTTAATATGTGAAAATACGTCATTGGAAGGACTTATATTTTAAGCGTGCAAACATGCAAATATTCCGTATTAGACTCTGGAATCCTGCATAGTGCTTTAAATAGTATGTGCATTCTTGGGTAAATGTATGCGTATTGTCAGGAAATGTAACTAAATGCCTATGTAGGCAGGTATGCAGGAATGATTATATCATAGCAGGCATGAGTTGTAAGGAAGTGTTATGGTGTAATTATAATTATAGTGGGAATGTTTTAAGGGGAATAACAATATGTCTGAAAAGCCTGTAGTATACCGTTTGACAGATAGGAGTCAGTATAAAAGCGAAAATGCTGTAGTTAGTTTGTTTGCTTATGAAGTGAAATAAAGTCTGAGAAGCCTGTAGTATACCGATTGACCGGCAGGGGTCAGCATGTAGACGAAAATGCCGTGGTTTGTTGGTTTGTACATGAAATGCAATAATGTCTGAGAAGCCTGTAGTACACTGAATGACCAGTAGGGGTCAGTGTGTAGGTGAAAATGCAGTGGTTTATTGGTTTGTACATGAAATGCGATAATGTCTAAGAAGC